GGCCACTGGATATCATTGACTCGGCGCCCGTGCGAGTTCATGAAGCTCCCATGCCAGGCCATCAAATCTTGTGCAAACATCGACGTCGAGATTTGAGAAGGACAGATCCCATAAAGATAGACTTTCGGAACTCCGCACGGATCTCTCGTATCTGCGTTGGGCTCCCTCCCCAGGCGGCGCTTCCGGCGCCGCCCTGGGAGTGCGTCCAGGGGCGTGTGCACGTGGGGGCGTGCATCCGAGTGCGCCTCCAGATCCTGACCCAGAGTGGCCTCCTTCGGTTTCAAATCGGGAAGGGAAAACTGGTCAGGTCAGCGCTCCTTCCCCTCTTTCTCCCCCCTCCTCCCTCGAGAGGGGCGAGGAAGGAAGGGGGGAGAGGAGGGGCAGGAGCACTGACCTGACCAGTTTTCGATTCCCAATCAAATCATGGGAGCCTTGAGTACCCTGGTGACGACTCTGTCTTTGGAGTGCACTGGCGTCGATCAGCGTCCGGGCGTCGATGGGATAGCGTCGATTCAGCGCCGATGTAGCGTCAATTCGCGTCGATTTGGTGTCAATGAGCCTCGACTAGCGTCGGCGATCGTCGATTCGCAGGAGCCAGCAAGATGGTATGGGAGGCTCCCATGAGTTGCCACCGAGGCCTCCAGAGCTCTCCCTGGGCCTTCCGGCGGCTATCCGATGGCCTGCAGCGGGGGCGGGGGCGGCGGGGGGTGCTGGGCCTCTCCGAGTAGCGCTCCTGCTTCCAGCGTTGGGGGCGCCGGAGGCCCGGGGCCTCTCTTGGAGGGCGGGGGGGCCTGGGCTGCCGGGGAGAGGCTCTTTCAAGAGACGTCGTCGATACAACGGCTACTGATACTGCTACTACTCCTACTCCTACTCCTACTTTTACTTCTACTCCTACTACTACTCCTACTCCAACTCCCACTCCTGCGCCTACTCCTACTTCTGCTCCTGCTCCTGCTCCTGCTGCTGCTCCTACTCCTACTCCTCCCTCCCTCCTCCAAATTCTCCTCTTCCTGCTCTCTCGTCCTGACCCTCCCCCCAGTGATGGAACAGCAGCACATACCCATACCCGCAAGGGGTCGGAGGTCTTCGTCGAACCTCGGGGATGCTCCCGTTCGAGTGGGCCCCCCCTGCTGACAGCACGCACCCGTAGCCCTTTCCGTCCCCCTTACGGGAACGGGTGTGTGATGTTCGTTCGTGACCCGTCCGTGTGTGTGTGTGTGTGTGTCGTGTGCGTGTGCGTGTGCGTGTGTGTGTGTGTGTGTGTGTGTGTGTCTGTGTGTGTGTGTGTGCGTGTGCGTGTGCGTGTGCGCGTGAGTGCGAGCGTGCGTGCGTGCGCGCGTATGCGTGTGCGTGCGTGTGAATGCGTGCGTGTGTGTGTGTGTGTCTGTGTGTGTGCGCGTGCGTGCGTGCGTGCGTGCGTAAGTGCGTTCGTGCGTGCGCGCATGTGTGTATGTGTGTTGTGTGTATGTGTATGTGTGGGTGTGGGTGTGCGTGTGCGTGTGCGTGTGTGTGCGTGTGCGTGTGCGTGTGCATGTGCGTGTGTGCGTGTGCGTGTGTGTGTGGTGTGTGTGTGTGTGTGTGCGTGTTCGTGTCGTGCGCGCGTGCGTGCGTGCGTGCGTGGCGCGCGTGTGAGTGTGCGTGCGTGTGAATGCGTGTGTGTGTGTTGTGTATGTATATATATATATATATATATATATATATATGTGTGTGGTGTGTGCGCGTGCGTGCGTGCGTGCGTGCGTGCGTGCGTGCGTGCGTGCGTGCGTGGAAGCGTGCGTGCGTGCGTGCGTGCGTGCGTGTGTGTGTTGTGTCTGTGTGTGTGTGGGAGTGTGTGTGGTGTGTGCGTGTGTGCGTGTGTGCGTGTGTGTGTGTTGTGTGTGTGTATGTGTGTGTGGTGTGGTGTGTGTGCGTGTGTGTGTGTGTGTGTGTGTGTGTGTGTGTGTGTGTGTGTGTGTGTGTGTGTGCGTGCGTGCGTGCGTGCGTGCGTGCGTGCGTGCGTGCGTGCGTGTGTGCGTGTGTGCGTGTGTGCGTGCGCGCGTGTTTGTGTGTGGATCCATCGCCAGCACAGTCGTCCCCTGCCTGGCCGCCGACGCAAAAGGTGTGTATGTGTGTGTGTGTGCGTGCGTGCGTTCGTGTGTGTGTGTGTGTCTGTGCGAGCGTGTGTGCGTGCGTGCGTGCGTGTGTGCGTGTGCGTGTGCGTGTGCTTGCGTGCGTGCGTGCGTGCGTGCGTTGTGCGTGCGTGCGTGCGTGCGTCGTGCGTGCGTGCGTGCGTGCGTGCGTGCGTGCGTGCGTGCGTGCGTGTGTGAGCGCGCGTTTATGCGCGTGCGCGTGTGTATTTGTATGCATGTGTGCGTGTGTGTGTGTGTGTTTGTGTGGAGCGTGGCTGCTGCAGGTTAGGACTGGTCGGCATTCTGTCCCTTTCCTCCACCTGCCCACCTGCCCCCCCCCCCCCCTGACGCTAGTCGACGAGCCAGCTCGCCCTGGTGGCGTCGTGCGGGCACTGCCTCACCCCCCCCGCCTCCACCGCCTCCACACGCAGGAGGCGGGTCCCGAGGGAAACGGTTCCTGGACCCCGGGGGCGTTCCCCAGGACAGTGTCGTCCTGAGCCCGGGGGGCCCGTGGAGGGCCCCAGGAAGCCCCGAGCGGCGGAAGGCGTCGGGACAATTGTTTCCTCGGGACCCGTCTCCCTCGTGGCGATTCCCTGTCAGGCTGCCACTCCTCGAAGGTTCTGCTCAGCATCGGCGCCGGCAGATCACGGTATGAAAGCTGGCCCAGTCGGGCAGAGTCCCGTCGAATTCCGCTGAGCCCGGCTTGATCTCAGCGGCACCTCGATCGGGCCTCGGCCTCCCAGGAATTGCCCCCTCGCCCTCCCTGGAGCCAGCCGCCCACTCCGCCCCCCAGGTGGGGGTGGAGGAAACAGGCGCGACACCATCGCCACCCGCCACCGCCAGAGGGGGCACCTTCAGCGAGAGGGTCCACGATGCCTCCCAGGGCTGGCGACGGGGAACGTCTCGAGCGAGGGCCGGGGACCACACCACCAGGAGGATCCCTCCCCCCTGGCGCCTCGCGCCGGCGGTGCTTCGGCGGCGAGCCTGGGGGGGAGGCGAGAGGGGGGCGGGCCTTCCCAGAGGGCGGCGGGGCTTCTCAGCTGCCCTCCGGCCTGCGGGGAAGCCGCCTGCGTCTCCACGGCAGGCTCAGAAGGCATCTCAGGGGGCGCGGTGGCTGCCCTCTGCGAGCGCCTGCCCCCTCTCCCACTGCACCCCGCGGGCTCGCCGCCGAGCGGTGGTGGTGGTGGTGTCGCCGCTCCTCTCGATGGATCTGCTCCAACAGATTGGGCGTGCCTGGGCGGCCCACAGGGGCGCGCGCCGCAGGTCGAGAGAGAGAGGGAGAGAGAGAACGACAAACATGAGAGCCGCAGACACAGACTCAACGACACAGCGACAGAGGGGACCATACCTGTCGGACAAAAGCGCAGGCGTGAATCAGGCGCGTGGCTTCGCGAGGGGCCCCGCTTTCGTGCCAGCATCGGCGCGCCACGTCACCCCGATCGGGAGGCACTGGCCTCTCCTGTCTCGGCGGCGCCCTCCCCGATGCGTCGGTTCTGTGGCGCCCCCGCGCGCCAGATCCCCGGACTCTTGCTCCTGATCCCAAGAAGGGGAGGTAGGGAGGAGGATGGGAGAGGGAGGAGGAGGTAGCGAGGAGAAGGATAGGGGGAGTGAGTAGGAGGAGGGGGAGGAGAGAGTCAGTGAGTGGGTGGGTGGGTGGGTGGGTGTGGGTGAGCGAGCGAGTGAGTGAGTGAGTGACTGCGTGAGTGAATGCGAAAAATCGCGATGCGATCCTGTGCCTCCGAGCCGCTCCCTGTGTTCCTTGTGTGTCGCAGGCGGCGAACCAGAGGACGGCGAACAGGCAAACCACAGCCAGGCTGCACGCGAAGAGTAAAATGAGCCCCGAGCCGCCGACACCTCGAATGAATGCCTCGTTGTACATTAAGAGTAACAAACGACTGCAGAAACAACCTCAACTCGATACGGTGGTAAAGCCACCACTGGTCATCGGGCAACCTCGAGATCGAGGCCGCCACCTCCACGAACTGCCTCGCCGGCTGCCAGTATTGTACTAAATGAACAACTTCAGTCCTCCATACCAGCCTGTACATATCTTTCGAAAGCAATGCCACGTACGCTATGCGCGTTATTGATGTGAACAGTCTCCCATTACAAACTCCAGTCACCGCCCGAGTGGGACTTAGATGTGCTCGAAGCCCCCTTGCCCCCTGGCTGCGAAGTGGATGCCGATGAAGACGCCGCCGGGAGGACCCTCCCTGGCTTGGGAGCAGGAAGCGCCACACCACCACCACCACCACCTTTGGGGATTCAGGATGAGCTGGTGTGCGGGATGCGGGTGTGCATGATATCCCGCGAGAGCACCCGATAATAAATACACCACCACCACGCCTGGCCTTCTTCTGCCTCCATCCTCCAAGTGGTGGTGGTGGTGCGTTTCCTTCTCCCTACTGGCGCCCCGCGCTGGTGGTGATGGTTGTCTTGGCCGGTATTGAAAGTAACCCCAAAGCGGACGTACCACACGTCGGTCTTGCAAACATAAACAAGGGTGTTCGCCGCTCCTTGTTCCTAAATCAGGGAAGCGTAATATTCGAGTTCGCACGAGCTCGGGTTTTGCCAGCGCCTCTCGACGAGCCCGTCCTGAGTACGGCGGGCCCGTTCTCGCGGGATGTTTGCAGCGGGAGGTCGGGCAAGTTTCGGCTCGGGTCTCGTCACTCTCCTGACGGCCCCGTCAGGCCAGCCCGAGACCCCCGAACCCGAGCCTGGCGCCTCCCCGGCGAAGGGGGGGTACAGTGCCGTTTTTAATACGTATTAGAATGCAGGGATTTCGTACATGCATGCATTTTTTCGTACATTGATCATGTATTAAAATCCTATATTTGGAAAAATCCTATGTATTAAACATTGCCCTGTACGCCGCGGACCCGTCGCCGCCAGGCGGGACGAGTGGAAGTGCAGGGCCTGCGGGGCGATCAACTACTGCAAGGCCGCCCGGCCGGGCCGCCCGCCCACGCCCCCGGGGGGGGGGGGGGGGCAAGCCCACCACAGCTGGCGGCGTGCCCCCGAGAGGAGCTCGAAATGGCGGGTGCGTGCATATGTATGCATATGTATGCATATGTATGTATATATAATATGTATATATATATATGTATGCTTGTATACAGGTACATCGACCAGCGCCTGTGCATAGATGTGTATGCGTTTCGATATGTGCACAGGTTTATACCTGTTCAAGAGACTTACGCCACTGCCGACTCCCAGGCTGAGTGAGGAGTCCCGGGGGGAGGGCGAGGGTGAGGTGTGATCGCGAGTCTTGTGCAGGACGACGTGGGCTTTTTTCGAGTCGTGATGGGATGACATATCCCTGGGAAGGGGAGACAGCTAATCATCCCACGCGTTCTTGCACTCGCGGCGTGTAGATACAGGTGGATCCGGACAACGCACATTTGCTGACAGCAGAACGGTCCCAGGTGGGTGTGCCGAGGTTTCGTATAGTGTTGCCTCGTGGGTGCCTCATGCGCTGGGTGGATGTGCCGAGGATGCGGCTGGTTCTTGCCCGTGGCCGGTTGGTGGCCGCCTCGTTGGCGCCTCTTGCGCTGATTGGGTGTGCCGAGGTTTCGGCTGACGGTTGGTGGCCGCCCATGGGCGCCTCGTGGGCGCCTCGTGCAGTCGAGTAGGTCAGGTGTTGTGCACGGGCTGCTCGGACAGAGGGTTCACGGCGAGGTCGTGAGAGACGTTTGGATGTTCGGGCTTCGGGAAGCGTGGGGTTAATGTTGTGCGCATCGCTGGGCTCGGGAAATCGACGTGCACAAAGTGTAGCAACATGCGATCGCGAAAGGGAATGTAGCAATTTCAGAGAAACGTAAGACTCGAGTAAGCCGGAACTCAGGTTTGCCGACGTTTTTTGACGAGCGCGTCTTGGGTTTTGACGGTCCAGTTTTCGTGGGATGTTTGCAGCGGGAGCTCATGGCCCCCGTCAGGACAACCCGAGTCCCCCTTACCCGAGTCTTACGTCTCCCCGATGTTATGATGTAGAAGTCCACGGGTGATGTTTCGTGGGCTTCTTGAAGCCTCGTCAGAGTTTCTTGGGCGTTTGCTGGCTGTTTCTGAGACGCCGTCGCGAGCACGGGATGCCTGCGTGTCCGGGTGCGTGGGAGGAGTGGTCGCCGCGCAGTCAGTTTTGCGCACATGGGGCTCACTGCATATTCGGGCCTTCTGGCGGCCTAATGTGGAGGGCTCTTGGAGCTTTCCGGGGGGGGGGGGGTCCACTTGGGGGCGTTCATTGGGGTTATCCGTATCCGCGGCCTCGCGGGCCAGGCCCTTCGGCCGCGTCTGCATGGATACGGGCGTTTCTGTTCGTGGATGCCCCACGCAGAGCGTATCCATGCGACCGCGTATCCAAGGGATCGCGCTTCGGAATCCAGACTGCGAGGTAGTTGATATGGAAATGTTCGCCGTGTGTGACTTCTCATCGCAGAAGGGGGGGTGCACACCACCGCGAAGTCTCCACAGGTGCTGCTCTTCTTGGGATGTGTATGTTGGCTCCTGCGTCTTTCCCCGGCCCCCCCGGGCACTCGAGAGCCGAGCCCATCCCCGGGTCCAGGAGAATGTTGTGCAGGACGCAGGTGAAAGGCGGGGTTCGTGATGTTTCCTTGTCTCATGCCCAGCGCCTGCGTGCGAGCGTTCCCGCCGCACGTGGATACCAGCACTGTGCTCGATCGGTGTGTAGTTTCCGTGATGCGTGCTTCGCTGGGGGTACGGGGGCGTCGCGTTCCGTGAACATAGGCATGTCGATGTGAGAGGACCAGGTGCGGGATCGACCCTTTCTGCGGGGGGGGAGTGCAGGAGCGGGCGGATCCTTCAAGCGGCTTCCCACCCGCAGGCTCTCGCAGCTGGCTACTTCTTCCCGAGAGGCCGCATCGAGTGCAATAGGTGCAAGGCGCAGAAGCCTTTCGAGGAGGACCCGTACAGGATACTCGGTGCTTTGGATATGAAGCAGGTATGGTGGGTAGTGGCATGTCATTGTTCTTGATCGTCGGAGTCTGCAGCACTTCACGGGGGTTGTGGCGTCGTGGCTTTTCCCAATGTGTGTATATCCAGATACACGTACATGCATGAGTGCATTTGAGGGTGAGGACGAGAACGTGGATCAGGATGAGGGCGGTGATTATGATGAGGATGGGGAGGATGATGATGATGAAGAAGAAGACGATGATGATGATGATGATGACGATGATGATGATGATGCTTAGGATTGTAATGATGCTGATTATCATGCGGATGGTGATGTTGTTGATGCTGATGTTGTTGATGATCATGATGATGACGATTCTGCTTATACTGAATATAATAATGCTGCTGATAATGAACATGACGATGATGATGGTGCTCCTGAAAATAATGATGATGCTGCTCATGATGATGATGGTGATGATAGTGATGATGGTGATGGTCCTGGTGGTTCTGATGATGAGGCGGAGAAGGAGGAGGGGGAGGAGGAGGAGGAGGATGACGACGGTGGTGGTGGTGATGATTCTGATGATGCTGATGATGATAATGATTATTGTTAGGATAGTTTCTCTCAGGATGCGACTGTTGCTGCTGACAATGACAATGATGATGATGATGATGATGATGATGATGATGTTGATGATGATGATGATGATGATGACGACGAGTATGATTAGGAAGAGGATGATGCTGCTGTTCATGCTGATGGATGTTGATGACGATGCTTCCGATCATGATGAATATGCTGCTGATGATGATGCAGATGTTGATGCTGATGTTGATGACAGTGATGATGATGATGATGATGCTGATGATGATGATGCTGATGCTGATGCTGATGCCGATGACGATGATGAGGATGAGGATGAGGATGAGGATGATGATGCTGCTGTTGATGATGATGATGCTGATGCTGCTGATGCTGATGATGATGAGGATCAGGATGAGGATCAGGATGACGATGAGGATGAGGATGAGGAGGAGGAGGAGGAGGACGAGGAGGAGGACGAAGAGGATGATGCTGCTGCTGATGATGATGATGCTGATGCTGATGCTTATGATGATACTGATGATGATTATGACGCTGATGATGATGATGATGATGATGATGATGATGATGATGATGATGATGATGATGATGATGATGATGATGATGATGATGATGCCGAGACAACAAGATCGAACGGCCTCCCAGCGGCTCCCGGGCTGTGCGTGGCGCGCTGCCGCCGCGCAGCCGGAGCAGTCGGAGCAGCAGCAGCAGCAGTTCCCGCAGCAAGAAGAGGCGCAGGAGACGCGGCGCGGCGGGGGCATCGGCAGCAATTTGTCGTGCGTGTGTCCCCGATGTTGTGTCTTTAGAGTGCATTTGTGTGCGCTGGCGTCTGGAAATCAGAGAGAGCGTGCTGACTTGGCTTTGATGGCGAAGGCCTGACGGCCGGTGCCGCCGACCCTGGAGGACGACGGCCACGACGGCGGCGGCGTCGGCGGCGACGACGACGCTGAGGTGGGGCAGGGTCCTCAGTGATGCTTCGTGGGGCCTCTTCGGAGCGCGCTCGTAGGCGTCTGGGGGGCAGTTTCGGCCTCTTGGGGGACTCTTGGGCCTTGGGGGTCCCGTCGCGCTTCCCGAGGGCCTCTTGGGGGCCTCTTGAGGCCTCGTGGAGGCCTCTTGGGAGGCTCTTGGGACCTCCTGGGAGCTTCTCGGGGCCGAGGGCTCGAAACTTTCGCTCGGGTTCCTGTGTGGGCACCTTGTTGGAGTCGTTTTGGGGGCCTCTTGAGCCGTCTCGGAGGCCTCTAGGGCCGTCTTGGGGCCCTCGTGGGTCGTTTGGGGGCCGTCTTGGAAACGTCTTCGGGGCCTCTTGTGCCGATCTTGGTGGCATCTTGGGCCGTCTTGGGGCCGAAAGGGCGAGAACGCCAGATTGTCTCAAAATCTTCAAGAAATCATGTAAGTTTTCCTGTTGGTGCCTTGGAGGCCTCTTCGACTTCGAGCGTCTTGAAAGCCGCCCGGGCTTTCAGGAGGCCATATTTGGCGTCTTGGACCGATTGTTCGGCGATGCCGGGTCCTCCTGGACCGTCTTTGGGGCCTCTTGGGCTGTCCTGGGGCCTTTTTGGGTCCCAGGACCTCTCTGGGGAGGATGGTATTCTGACCCGGGACCCTCCCCAGGACCCCCTCGGGACCCCCCACAGGACCCCCCTGGGGGGGGAAGGGATCAAATGGAAGGGGCTCGTTTTCGATTCAACTACGACGTTGCTCAATATCGCTTTGCTTTCGCTTTCGCTGCCTCGCTCGAGGAGGAGGGCCCAGTGAACGTGGGGGAGCTGCGACCACACGCCGACAGGGTCGCGGATTAGCGTCGATTTAGCGTCGACTAGCGTCAATCAGCATCGGTTAGCAGCAAGATGGCATGGGAGGTCCTCATGAGTTGCCACAGACAGAGTCGCCGGGCGCCTGGGGCAGGGCGCATGTCGGCGGCGGCGGCATCGTCGTCGTCTGTGATGAGGAAGAAAAAAAGGTCCCAACACTGGGGCTCGTCCTGGAGAGCTCTTGCCGCCACGGTTGGAAAATCCTCGATGCTCTGGTCAGGATGCACCCCGCGAGAGGTGATTACCTGTGTGCCCCCCCCCGTTAGGGTGGACAAGTGCGATGCGAGCTTCACCTTCTGGTCAGCAGCGAGGGTGAGCGCCCACGCGTTTGAGGCGCGGGGACGAGGGTCACACGAGTGCGGCTGAGGGCAGGAGGAGGGCGGCCGCGGAGAGGAGCAACGCGAGTTCACACATGTGAAGCGCAGTGAGTCTCTCTGCCCCTTCCCTTCGTACTCGAACTTGCAGCGTGCGTCCTTCTCGTTGTCTTCTCTGCGCCCCTCTGTCTCCTCCGCAGCCGCTTGGGGCACAGGGGGGGCCGCTCGTGCCGGAGGAGGATCAGGTGCAGGAGCCAACGCGGGAGCAGGCCTCCAGCGCAGAGAATCTTCGGCCACGCCTCGGCGATGCGGCTCGATGTGGGGTCCGATCTTCTCCACGCTGGCGCCGCCGACGCACCGCCGACGTCGCCAGTGCATCGCCGATGCATCGCCGAGACATCGACGACGCACCGACGATGCGGGGCGTGGTCCTCCGGCCCCATCCACTCGGACCCCACCCGGGAGGCCTCTGGAAGGAAAGAGGAGGCCTCGAAAGACCCCATCCAGGAGGCCTCGAAGGAAGGAGGAGGCCTCGAAGGACCCCATCCAGGAGGCCTCGAGGGAGAGAGGAGGAGGCCTCGAAGGAAAGAGGAGGCCTCGAAGGAAAGAGGGGGCAGGCCGCCGGCGCAGGGAGCAGTCGCCACGATGGGGTGCTCGCAGGCGGCCCCGGGCACCGCAGAGGCTGGCGAGAAGCCGGGAGTTTGCGCGGGTGTCGGGGGCGGCCAGGAGAGGGGGGTGATGACTAAGGGGGGGGGGGATCTCATGGCGTGGGCCACGAGTTGTCCTCAGGCTTCATGGCGCCTCTTCTTCTTTCGTTGCCTCCCTGGGCCCCCCTTGGGCCGCGCGCCTGCCGCCGGCCATGCTTGGCGCCCCCCCTCCCCCCTCTTCGACGCCCCCCTCTTTGCCGCCCCCCGAAGGTGGTCCGAGGTGCCGAAGAGGGGGCGGGGGGCAGCGCCGGGGCACACCAGAGAAAGAGGCAATCCGTCACCCGCGGGGCGGCAGGCGCGACGCGAGCCTCGCAGTCAGGAGAGGACAGAAAGCCACAGGCACAAATCATTGGCGATGCCCAGGATGACATTTTTATCATCTATATATATATATGTTTAGGAAAAAACATGGGAAGTGGAGGAGAAGACGTAGATCCAGAAAATACGAACAGGTATTGGGAATCCTGGAACGTGTGTCTACTTCTTCGTGTGCCCCAGGGCCTCCTCAGAGCGCGGCCGGGCAGCGTGGCCGGGGCCAGTCTTTGCACTCTCTCCAGCCCCTGGCCAGCCAGCGTTGACACGAGGAGCGCTTCGGGGGCAACGATCAGGACGACGATCGAGATGGGTACGGAAGTGATGGGTACGATGCCCAGCAGCAGTTCCTGTTCATTTTGAACGGGCCGTGCTGTTCGCGCGGCCGCGGGCGCTGTTCTCTGAAGACAAGAAGCCGCCTGCCCAACAGCGGCCGCTGTCGGTTTGGGGCAACATTTGTTGTTGGGCATTGTACCTTTGCTTTCAGTACCCGTGTCTGGCGTCCAAAAACGATAGGGGGGAATAAGCACAGGGGGGGATGCATCGACCCCTGATCCCCCATGGATCGCCGGTAGGGTGCTGATAGCCCCAGCCCGCCCAGGAAGGCCTGGTTTCGCTATCGGGGGCCGATCGCCGACCTATCGATGGTGTATCGCCGATTCCAGGTCGATGCTTCCCCCCAAAGGAGCGACGCCGAGAAAAATCGGGGTCGTCTGCGCCGACATGGGCGCGTGGGCTCCCCGCGTGAGGTCGCGCGTGAGCGCCCTCGCCTCCAGTGCAGCGTGCCCCGCGGGCGGCCTGCGTGAGCTGCGGCGTAGGGTGGCTATGGCATCTCGCGCAAGACCCGTTTTTGATCGTCGCTCATGTGCCAGTCCTACGGGGCGTGAAAACGACCACAGCCACCGCTTTTCTTCTGTTGCCGCCGTCCAGCCCGCAGGAACAAAGCAGTGGATGTGGTCATCTCCGTTGAGCCTGGCACCAGGGCAACGACCACAGCCACAACCTCTTTCTCGGCCAGCTGGAAGGCGGCGCAAAGAAGTCAACGGCACCTCAACGGGTACTTACTAACGGGTACTTTGGGTTGGGTTGGGTTCGCTGGGTCACTGGCCAAAGTACCCGTTAGTGGAGTCCCCATTTGAGGGGCGCTGAAGAAGAAGCAGCGGCTGTGGTCATTTTCCCGCCCCGCATAGTCCTCCCTGTCGTTGCCCCTTCAACGCTCGGGGCGCAGGAGGGGCTCCAGCCTTTGCGCGGCGTGCCCCGGCTCGGGGTCGGGGGGGCGCTTCGCAGCCGAGGGGCTCGCGGCAGCCAGAAGGTAAGGCAGCCAAAGATCTGCACATAGGGGCCCCTGTTGGAATCGGCAGTGCTACGGCCAGCAAGCTACGTAGCACTTGGGAGCCGCAGCGGGCGGAACCACCGAATGAAGATGTGCATGAGGCGCATGGGGCCGATGCTTTCTGGCGGCTCTCCCGAGCCAGACGGAGCAGCGCCAAATAGTGCTCCGATGCTTTGGGCTGGTTGAATCTGATTTAGGCATGTGTTCTTGGACTGTCCGGGAGACCACACGCAACAACCCCTTCGTTCTGTGTGCCGCTCTCTTTTTGGTGGCATTGAGTTGGGCATGTCCCTCCACCACAGGAGGGAAACTCAGAAACAGGAAGAAAATAGGATGTGAACGACGTTCTGATTATCTTTAGCTATGTTCAGACATGTGTTCAACAATGTTTTTTATGTGGTTCGTCCAAAAACCCGCCTGTAGGAGGACATGCCCGACCTAATTGTAGCACCATTGTCCATGACTGTAGTTGCGGTGCAGGGCTCGCCACTGGGAAGCTGGGCCAAGTTGCGGATGCCAGCCCCTTGCACTCTTTCCAGACCTTCAGACCTTGAGCGCCGGCGACCTCATCCCAAATGCTTCGGGTTCGTTTGGCCCCCACTCAGCTTTTCCAGTCCTGGCCATTTCCGCTTTCAATGCTGTTCCAACATCCGCGTTTCTCAGCCTCGTAGTAGCGCGGCGTGTCCCTGTCGTAGCTTGCCCGCGAATGTTGGCTAGAGGACTCGCGAGGCGCAGTTTGGTTCCCCCATGTCCACGCCTCTCGCGGCTGCTGGCTTGGACGTTCTCGTCGTCGTCGTCTTCGTTGTCCGCAGAGCTTCAGCCCTGGCACACAGCCCGCGACTCTGCGGCCAGCCCTTCACTTTCGCAGGCGCTCAGGAGGCACGCTGGCCGCACTCGCCGAGCCGCCGAGACGGGAGCCCTCTTGGCGCCGCTCCTGGAGACGTTGAGGGCGCCCTGGGCCCAGCCTAGGCCCTGTTGGAACCGAGGCCTCACAGCAATGCGCCCGAGGCCTCTGCACAGGGCGCGCGTGGATCTCCGTGCGCGCCCCAGAGTGCCAGGGAGCGCCTGCAGACTCCCAGACCTCGAGTGGCCCGGGCACCCGACGCAGCTCCGTCGACAACGGGCAGAGAGAGTATGCCACGAGTCCTCGGGACACTTCGCCCCGTGCCCCGCGGCACGGCGGGGGATCCCTGGGGCGGCCCGAGACCCTAAGCCGCTTTCTTACGCCGTGTTTCTGCCAACCTTCTCCAAATAGATCCGCGGG